CGGCGGAGTGCTTCGTTGTAGAAAGATCAGCTACATGTGGACTGTGATGCGCAAATTAACCTCCAACTATGTTTGGTCCGTGAGTATCCGAAAAACAAGCATCTTCTTGCCTTAGACAGCCAAAGAGCCGTGCTCTTGGAAAATGCGACGAAGACCCGAAAATCATTCTGGGACGGAAACTTCGCAACCTGACGACAAAAGGCGCCATGCCCACTTTGGATGGCAGTTCTTCCAGGATGGTACACTCTGCACCGCAAAGTGGAAGTTGCCCCAAATTCCCATCCCCTGCCTCTGCCCACGGGAGCTCCCCACATCGGCGAGGCCGAGGCAGACCTAGGAAGGGGACAAAAGCAGGCAGAAGGCAGAAGGTAAAATTCGGCGTACCGCAGGGCTTTGGGTGCTTAACATCTCTGAATGACTCTGAGGTTTCAGGCTCGTGGGTTGTCTGGCCTCAAAGCAGAGCTTTTAACAATTCGCTTTCATGGGGGACTGTGCGATTGGGGTGCCTGCATGCTACCAGAACAATACGGGAGCAAGGCTGATAATGCTGTAACGCCCAAACCTACATGATCATGAACATCCAGGGAGCCCAGAGATGCCCGAAAACTAAGACCCAACTGCCAACTCCTCCATCACTTTTTCAAGTTTGGACTCGTGCGCTTGAGAGCCATCCAAATGGCCAAGAGACCATGCGGAACAAGCCCGAGGTTGCAAAGAGCAGCATCCGCTGAGCAATTTCAGAATCAGTGCCACATCGCTGTGAATCAGTCGTAAGCTTTGCCCACGTAAATGGCGGCTCATCACGCAGGCTTTTTCTCCTCCTTAATTTGCTGGAAGCGTGAAAAACGAGCGCTCTTTCTTGTTGAGCCCGGAGCGATTGTCTCCGGCGCGTGTCTCTCGAGCACTGCCTCCAACACGTTGTCGTTGTATTCCTCAATCCTCTTCTGGGCCACTGACTTTGCCCCAAGGAGCGCACGAACGACGAACTGGAGTGCCCAAACCACCCTCTCGGCGAAGACAAAGGCAAGCACACTCTGGCAGGGACTCAAATCCCAGCTGTCAAAGAGGAACATGACGATGTAACAGGTGGAAGTAGCCCCTACATATGCCAAGAAATACAAGATGTAAGACCATGAACCGATTCCGTGCTGCACGCGAGGGATGGTACGCTGCTTCGCGAAGCACAGCTTGTAGGCAGTGAGCCTCTTCGCGGGAAAAGCACCCAAAAAGCACAGGATGCAAATAGTTGGAGTTGTTACACCAAACAGCGCGACAAAGCCGAAATTGAGGACCCCATTCATGTAGTCAGCGACTTCGTCAGTCACTGTGTAGGGCTGGCACAATGCTTGATACTCCAAGAAGGTAAGGTAGGGCCGGTCCTCGTGGTATTCCTCGTATTTCTCGCCAGCGATCTTCTTTTTGTTCGCCAGTTCTGCGGAAATTCGCCAATAGACCATGGCGAGCATAAGGAGGACCTCACCTGCCTCCAAAATCAACTGGAACACAAAGAAGCTGGCCAAATCAGACCGCAATTGGGCAAGACAACCTTCCATCACGTCGCCCTCGCAGCCTTCTATGTACGGCTGGAGGAAAACGGTATAAAAGAAAGGATAGTAAAAGACCACAAACTTCACCGCAAAAAGCTTCAGCACCATGTTGGACTTGAGCTCCACATCTGTTCGCCAGTTCTCACGGTTGCTCAGATATGTGGAGAGGCGCGTCCACAGAGCGTTCACTGTCTTGATGTTGGCAATGATGATGTATTTGAAAGCATGAACGGCAACATTGTTAGGCAGGCCGAAGGTAGCACCATCCGGATTGTTAAAGGCAGCTAATCTCCTGGAACTGATAAATGCAATCACTCCAACAGTCTCGCAAATGAAAAGCGCGCACAACATCCAGTGAAATATATTCTCGAGTCTCTCCGGCACCGTGTCGCGGTATTCGTCTCTGAATTGCCGTCGAACCGCAGCAGAAGCAGAGTTCGTGCCATCCATGCCCCATCGCAAGCTCTTGAACTGCAGGCTCTGCTTGTAGCTGGCTAGGAAATAGGTCGTCCAAACGCACAGGCCGATGCCATAGATCATATTCACCAACTGCCGCTGATGATGGCCCAGCCAGCCGCTGAACCGAAGGCTTAGGACGAGGATGCTACAGATGGCTGGCACCAGCAGAGACCTTGTATACATGTTGCAGAAATGATAGTAGTAGGCCACCTGCACTCCGAAGTAGTTAGCCAGGTAGTCGGGCGTTGTGTTGCTCGGCCATACAAAAAGCCTTGTCGGGTCGCTCCAGCCACGATTGTAGAGTTCCTGCACGGAATCCCAGTCGTGGGCTGCAAAAAACTGGGTGAGCACCTTTGTCTCCTCCAGCGCAGCCAAATCCATCTTCGTCAGGATCGTCCGCCTCACAATCCGCAGCTGTTCAGGCTCAGTGAAGTCCTCCACCTTTTCTTTGATGTCTTTAGAAAATCGGACGAAGGCTGGGCAGGAATTGTCGATCACTGTCCCATTTAGATACCGGTCACCTGTGTCGGCGCGCTTGAATCTTGCTTCGCTACCCTCACCTTCACGCAATTTGACGTCCGTCGGGCATTCGAAGGTCTTCTGCTTGTAAGCCTTGGCCTGTACTTGAACTCGAGCCTCCATCCTTTCTGCCATTGAGTCGAGCGTCTCGTGGTTAGTAACTTGAATTACCAGGAATACTTCGTCATTATCCACAGAGCAATCCTCTACAACGTCACAGCCAATGCCTTCAAGCACCAGCTTCACATTCTCGACAACTTCACGGACGAAGTCCTCAAATGCCATTCCGTTTTTGATCGTGCCCGGGGGTTCGCTTTGTCGGAATATGGCCTTCCAATCTGAAACCGCCGATGGGACAGTCTTCCGGAACTGTTCAGCGCTGCTCTCGTCAAGACCCTGTCGTCGGTTTGGAAAGACCATCACGTACTGCGCTCCCCCGAACTTCAGCAAAAGCTGGCACCCCATGACCTTGATTACACTGCTTGATGGATGAGGTTGTTCGACGTCGCTAGAAACGCTAGCATCTCCCGTTGTCTCCTTCAAGAGGTGCTCCTCTTCTCTATTGCAGTGGCAGCTTGAAACAGCACGGGACGCATTTCCTCCCATGGCCAGAAACACTGACTAGCTGACTGGCTGTATCCTTTGGCCTGTCGAAATGGCTCGGTGGAATTTCGCTGAGCTCTCACCCTCACGCACCCAAGACTTCCATAGCACTGGAACATGGAAGAAGGCAATTAATTCAAGTGAATAGATTGGCTCCTGCCATTTTCCTTGGATTGCAACACTCGCAAGAACTCAGAACCCTCCAGCAACACATGCATAATACTCTGCAGCAAAAAAGCAAACACCTCAGTCTTGAACCACTGCTACCATCGAGGCCCTTCGTCGCTGCGATCGGCCCGCGGGTGCTCCCACGAGCCAGCTTCGGACGGGAAACACCACCACTGTCTATGGGCACAGGCCCATATTATCATGCAGATGCGGTCTACACAAACAGAGTTCAAAATGTGCATATCTGTATATACATATGTACATGTATGTGTGTACGTGTGTCTCAAGATTCTAAGCACGTACGCATGCGAATGTGCTGCACTTTTTTCAACGAACAAACGAACAAACAAACAAACAAAACAAAACAAAACAAAACAAAACAAAACACAACAAACAAACAAAACAAAACAAACAAACAAACAAACAAACACACAGCAACACAACCAAACGATTATGCACAATGTTAAAACATGTGTATACATGGAGAGATATATATAGATAGGTATGCATAGCTGCATAGGTATATACATATAGTCATATAGAATAGATATATATATATATATATGCACAAAGAGAGAGAGAGAGAGAGAGAGAGAGAGAGCGAGCGAGCGAGCGAGCGAGCGAGCGAGCGAGATTGATGCCCAGGCACGCTCTGCATATGTACACACCGGTGTGAACACACCTTCATAGTGGTTTACCCGTTGCATCCTGACTCTCGCAGGGGCGGTGGGATCAGCGACACAAGGAGCTTAGCACCCCCTTTTCCATTCCGAGGGTGTGCCTGTTTTTGTCTAGTGTGAAACCTGCCCAGTTGTGGGTTGAGCGCACGTCCCACAAAGCAAACCTGCCCAGTTGTGGGTTGAGCGCATGTCCCACTAAGCAGCAAACAAACAAAAACGTTGCGCCACGAGAGGCTTTCGCGCCACACACAAGAAAATACAGCTCCGGAGTCCTTCACATGTCCTTCACTGCGTCTTTCATCACTGTAGAGCAGCGCTCCAACTCGAACACCTAGGAATTTGAATGCGCCTGGGCTTCGCATTGTATCAGCACACTGCCTTTGTGGCGATGGTCCGCAAGCCTGTCGATTGGCTTTGTACAAACTATGACAAACCCTCCATCAAAGCTGCAACGGTGCTGGTCTGCGGGTGCCGGCTTCCAAATCATGTACTGACGAGTTGCTCGGGATCTTGGGCTTTGCTTTCTTTGGATCCATCCAACGCTGAACCTGAACCCGAAACCCTTTAAATGCCGAAACACCATTGCTGGCAAGGAAACCCTGCCACTCCCTGCGACCCAGTGAAAACGTGAGCCTTGGGAGATGAACCCTGTAGCAAATCCATGCAACTTGCGCTTTCACCGGGGAATCTCCGACAGTAGAATCTTGATAAGGTAACGTAACATCAATCATATGATGAGAGATGCCAAAACCCAGGACCTATAAAACTCTTGAAAGGAGCTACGCGGATCGCTGCTCAAAGGGGTGGTTTGGTGCAGATGAAGTTTTCCATCTACTGCTCTTATTGCCTGGGCTATAGTCTCCGGTGTGGACTTCTTTAGATCTGGGTTTTTTGGGCCGCTACACTTGCATCGGCCTATTGCTCTACGTCGCTTTGCTAGTTATACTGCCACGGTAGTAGCTTGCAGTGCAAAGGCTGAAGCAAGCAGTCGGAGTTCACCGCATTGGGCGCAAGCATCTTCGAATCACAACCGGCTCTCTGCTAGTACAGGAAGGAAAAATGGCGAGGCCTCGCCATCTGCCGGCTGTTCAATGGATTCGTTGGAGCTCTGCTCCAAGAACGGGTGGCGCAAAAGCGAAGGCAAGTCCATTCGCACCTCCGCTGCTGCCTTCAAAATCTGACCAGGATCTCCGTCGACACGCGCCATGAGGGGCGAACGCATCAACTTCTGGATAAGATCCGACGATAGCTTCAGGGGGGTGTCCACGGCCTGAAGATCCTCACTCGTGTCCTGCGACATGTGGGAGTCAAGGCTTTCGATAGTCTCCAAAAGAGGTAGGATGCCAAGAACTGAGGGTTGGAGCGACATAAGGCCACCTACGAAACGCGCCCAGGCTGTGTACGGAGGCCTTTGTAGGATTGAGGGAAGTGGGCTCGACCATTGCTTCACTCTTAACCAAGACCTGAAACATACAGACTCTCAGGGTCCACGCAGGATCCTCCTCATTGATACTATCTCATATCTATCACGCAAAACTTGCCCAAAGCCACTGCTTATCACTGCTTGTGCTCGTATTCTGACCCTTTTTTGCATCCGGGCTCGGAAGACCCTTTTGCAGCAGGCTTCTCTCGCCCGGAACTGCCGGAAGACCCTAAACCCTCAACCCCCTAACCCGACCAACCTTTTTCAAGGAGTGGAAAGCCTAAACCTCGAATTCCATAGGCCCCATAATAGTTCCTTTTTGGGGGTACCTTATAGGGTTCTATAATGAACCCAAAAAGGAACTACTATAGGGCTGCCTCAGAGACCGGCCTCCTGCTGGCCATGGGCCTGGAAGTCCCTGGCATAGAGCGGACGTCGGGCTCGTCGGGCCAGGAGTCGGGCAGAATCCTGCGCTGAGGGCCTTAATCAAAACATATATGTACACGTCGACAGATAGATAGAAAGATAGATAGATAGATAGACAGATAGGTAGATAGATACATGGAATGGAATAGAACAGAATAGACTAGATTGGCATAGAATCAGATTAGGTTGGATTAGATTGATTAAACTAGATTAGATTAGGTTAGACTAGACTAGATGCGTATAGATTAGGATAGATAGACAGATGGATAAAAAGATAGATAGATAGATGGATAAACAGATAGATAGATGGATATAAAGATGGATCGAAAGATAGATAGACCGATCGATCGATAGATAGATAGATAAGTAGGTAAATAGACAGATGGATAAATAAATAGATAGATTAGACAGATAGGATAAGATAGGATAAAATTAGATTAGATTGGATTGAATTCGATTCAATTCGAGTAGACTAGATGGATTGGTAGATAGTTAGGAGTTAGATAGATCGACAGATACATCGACAGACAGACAGATAGATAGACAGACATGCCTGAAGGTTCTGGGAAGCGGTAGGAATAGGGCAATGTGGGAGCTTGTCCAGCCTGCCTGGGACATTGCTACAACCACGCGTTGCGATGCTCACGCTTCGGACAGCCAGGCTTGCCACAGTACCAGCTGTGTGAGGATTTAACTTCGAGGCGTGTGGCCTGAGGAGCTGCACAAGACATGGTCCTCGGACAGCAGTGGTGGCAGCGCGAAATCCACCACCTTCGACAGCCCCCTCTGTGCTTCGGCTGCACGCCTACTGTTACCAGCATCCTCCTACTACTCGACGACTACCACACTACTATGCTGCAGACTATGCCATAGTGACTATGCTGCGACCGACCACGAACAACAACCGCATCTTTAGTGCATCAGTTGCTGCTGCAGCCACTGCTGCTGCTGTTGCTGCTGCTGCTGCTGCTGCTGCTGCTGCTGCTGCTGCTGCTGCTGCTGCTGCTGCTGCTGCTGCTGCTGCTGCTACGGCTCCTGCTTCGGCTGCGGCTATGCTCTGCTATGGGTGCTGTTGCCACGGGTACTGCTGCTGTTGCGGCTGCTGCTACTACTACCACTACTCCTGCTGATGCTGCCACTACTACTACTACTACTACTACTACTGCTGCTACTACTACTACTACTACCACCACTACTACCACTGTTAGCACCACCACAACTGCTGGCGCAACTTGCACAAGTCGCCCATTTAATCCCATGATGCAAGGCAACCCCCAATATCTGGAATCCTGAACCTCCCGCTGGGTTTCGCCTTGGAGAAGCCAAGAGAGGCCCAAGATCCATGCAAAGGGGTGCGTGCCGTGAGAAGCAATCGCAAGTTCCTGAGCTTGATGGACTGTTGCACTTAAGGTTTCAAGTGTCCGTACACTGCACTATGCACGTGATTGCTTCCTTGCCCTTTCCTCATGTGATGCTAATCAGGCTCTTGAGGGAGCTTTGAGAGTTGTCGTTCGCTCACGGCTTGAGTCTAGCTTGTACATCCTTCTCTGACGCGGGTTCTGAATCCGGAAATGCGAACTCTACTCCTCTTCTACCCGCGGTCGCTGCATGCGGGAAACCCTGACTCCACTTGCAGACGCGGATCACCGTTGTCTGCAGCAACTCACCGAGGAGTTCTCGATCTGCATCACCGGCACCCTCTTCCAGGCCATCGATGACCACCTTACGAGTCTTACAAGGGGCTGAGATGGCAGGAAGAACATGCCTACAGTGTCTGCCCGGCTGCCTACATGTGCCCCATGCAATGAACCTCGGGATTGGCAAGCACGAAGTTTCCGTCCCAGGCGGCCCCCACCAGCTGGGTTGTAATGGGCGACAAGAGACGAGCCAGCTGCCAGCTTGGTCCAGCTGCCGCACCACTTGCCTCCGTCGAGGAATCTGGAACAAACACTTCCAATCTTCGCTTTATGAGGGGTTTTGCGAGAAAAATGCAAGAGACAAGAAGAAGTCAAGAAATAAAACGCAAGAACCAACACCAAACAGAAAGCTGCACCTTGAAGGAGGCTTCAAGAAAGTCTCAACTCAAGGATTGCAAACTCAAACAAGACGCATTACCAAACAAAAGAAAAAGACACCTTACGAAATCGACTTGCAAGGGTTTTCACGAAGCCGCTGTATGGAGGTTCTGCTACGGAAAGAAAATGAGAACAAACGACAATGCTAAAGTGCTCACCCCCACCAACCCCAAGAGTCCCAAGAGTTGAAGTAGAACTGTTGCAGACCCCGAGTGTGGTTGGACTATAGGATTCTGTGTGCCTGAAGCAGTAGCGGTACAATTCTGGATGGAGACACCTGGAAATCAGGCCAGATCCATGTAGCTTTCTTGCACAGGAGCATTTAGGCTTCGAGACCCACTACCAGACTACCAGCAACCGTTGACCCCTCCCCGAAAGAAATGCCAAAACCTTCATGGACGGATAGCTCAGATGAAATCTTCACCTCAAGGCTTGTAGCAGAGAGAGAGGTTTGAGGTGTCGTGCCTCCTGAAGCAACACCCGTTTCGCAGGGTAGAGGCTGAACTTTGTTCCTTTCGGCATGAGTCTCCTTTTCCGGAATTGTACTGTGCAGCACCCTCCAAACCCTGAACCCCAACAACCCCAACTTACTCGCTGCCTCAGCTTCTCCGGAGAGCCCAGGGCAGCCCGCGGATCCAGCTCACCGTGGGCCTGGTGATGGGGGCTGCCGCCTGACCACAGACATCACTGCTTTGCAGGTCTTTTACTGAAGGATTTTGGGAGATTCCAAGGTTTAGAGCTTGCAGAGTTCAAGGCTGTGGAGCCTTTTCGCTCCGGGTTCAGGCGTCCAGGGAAAGACTTCTTCAGAGATTAGGCGGAAGTTGGGAGCGCTTCCTAACTCCCAGACTCGGATGACCCAGGCGGTCATGTTTTTCCCACCGGCTTCGCTGATTAAGTCGCACTACAGTCAGGTAAACTGCACTGAAAGACGTGTGAGCAAGCCCCCGAAAATAATAGCCTTCACAGACCAACCGCCTCGGCGCCGAACTCGCAAAAGGATTTCGGCGTGGTTTCATTACCGGTCTTCAGGTTCGGGGCTCGAAGCTGAGCAAGTAACACAAAGCACGTAATCTGTACTATATAACTTATATAACATACAATATGCAATTTGTAATTTAGAACATCGAGAATATGTAAGATGTGATATATAATATGTAACATTGAAATAAGTCTGAGGTTGTAGGACCAAGCTCTCACCTGTCCGAGGGGTACTCTTCTCTCACCACGTGCTCTGGTGGCTCAAGGCTTCCAGGCACCATGCCCGAGTAGTAGAACCATGCATATAGGCTCTTCATAGTAGAGTATCATTCTCTTATAATGTCGTCAGCTTATATCCTTTTCATACCATTTTCTCATATGCAACCAGGGCACGAAGTTGCTGAAGGAGCTGCGGCAGAAGAAGTGCGGCCACACTCTGGCCGCCCGCCTGAAACGTTTAAGAGTCTATGACAGAATCAAGATTCGAGGGTGGAAACTCGAAAGAGACGCGCCCGCAGCCACCGAGATGTCTCGACATATTGCACTCGTATCAGCAAGGTACTATCAATTCCGTGTTGCCCTTGCGTATCGCCATCGCCCTGCCCCCCGCACCACGCTACAATCTACAACGATCTTTTCTACAAACCTAACGATTCGTGCATATTATTATGCATAATATTAACTAATCCCCTTCGTTCATTCCTAAATTCTCTATGTGCTTCTTGGTTTTGTTATGTCG